CCCCTGCCTATAGACTGGATGGGCAACTAGGTGGTCTTTAAGGTCCCTTCCAACCCAAACCATTCCATGATTCTGGCATGGCTGCAGGGGGAACTGCGGTGCTGCAGCCATCTGGTTGCTATTCCTGTTCTTGGTCTGTCAGGTGGCCCTTGGGACACTGAGCTTGGGACACCAGGGGCTCGGGGAGTCCTGCCCTGCTCCTCACACCATGTCTCCTGGGACAGGATGGTGTCGTGTGGCCGGGACAACATCCGGCTGTGGCGAGTGCGGAGCGGGGCCCTGCACTCGTGTCCCGTCAACCTGGGCGAGTACCATTCCCTGGACTTCACCGACCTGGCCTTCGAGGAGGGGCCCGTGGCTGAGCAGGAGCAGGAGGACCGTGCGCTGTAAGGGGCCGTCACCAGCACCATCCTCGGGGAACCTGCTGGGAGGGAGCTCTGTGCCTCTCCCTGCTCAGCATCCTCCTTCCCCTCCTGTGCACCACCACAGAATTTTGCTTGGGTTCTCCCTGCGAAACACAGGTGCCTCCTGGAGCTGGGAGAGCCTCTCCCCTCCTCAGCACACATCACTTCCCAAAAGAGATTTGGCTGCTTCAGAACAGCCCCAGAAATGGCTCTTTCCTCTCGCTGTAGTGATGTTTTGCCATATTTAGTGATTTTCTTCTCACCTGAAGCTTTCTGTGGCAGCAGGAGGAACGTGGAACACATCTTCTTGCATACAGCCAGACACACACTTTGTTGTCGTTTTATTTTAATCATCAGAGCCAGACCTTTGTTGCCACCACATATGGTCCCATCAAGGCAGAGCTGTCAGCTCAGCCAGCCTGTAGCATAGAGAGGCTCCTTTCTGGAGTCTGTGCCAAGCTTTTTGGCTTTCTTGCTGATCTCTGTTCCAGAGGGTCAGGAAATCAAATAGGAAGCTCTGACTTGGTTGGAGATGTGTGGTGCAGCACATGGAACACTTGGACACCTAGCTGACCTGTTATATTACTGTGAACCAGCATTGCTTTCCACAGGTAAGCCAAGCTGGTTTTTCACTGAAAGCAGGTCTCCCTCCTGCTTTTTTTACAGCTTTGTCTGCAGCAAGAGCGGCCACGTGCTGGAGGTGGATTACAAGAACATGTCTGTGCGGAGCGCGCGGCGGCTGCTGCCGGCACAGCCCCGGGAACACGGGCAGGAGCAGGCAGGGAGCAGCTCAGGTGGGAGCACCTGCAGGGAGGGAGGGGGGGACCACCACCAGGGTCAGAAATGAGCTCAAACACATCCCTGGTCAAACCAACCAGCTCTTTACCTACTGCCACCGGTTATTTTGGGTTGATTAGATCATCTCTATTTGCCTCTTAAGGACTGCAAATAATCTTCCTTAGTGCAGCAAAGTATCGTTTTAAGAAAGATTTTAGCATTTTAAATGCTGATTGCACTTTCAGAGAAACACCACTTTTAGAAGCATGAAACAAGGTCTTCATTTGCTGATGGGAGGCTTAACGGAGAGATGGAAAAAGAACGAAGCAGATGAACGAAAAAGATGAATTTGGGGATTTTTTCATTATTTAGCCTTTGCAGAGCATTTGGAGAATCTTTGGTGCTGTACATTAGTCCAGCTTTCAGCTCTTCCATTAACTTCAGCGGCGGGAAGAATTCACTTTCAAGTGGGATTGCTCTGATGTTTTAAAACTTAGTGCATGGTTTGCTGTATCAAATTGAGCTAATTAATCAAGAACATGCCCTTTGAGAGGTGTGTAACTGCAGTTCTCGCCTCATGGGCAAGAAGAGGCCCAAGAGCAGATGAAACAATGTCCTTGGTGTCCTCCTGGTAGCAGTGCTGGCTCTGACCAATGGCCTTTATACCTGAACTTAGATTGGATATTGGGGAAAATTCCTCCACTGAAAGTGTAGTCAGGCTTTGAAACAGCCTTCCCATTCCATCAGTGCAAGTGTTCAAAACTGTGGGTTTGGCCCTTGGGGACATGGTTTGGTGGTGGCCTTGGCAATTCTGGGTTAATGGTTGGCCTCGAGCTTTTCCAACCTTAACGATTCTATGAATCAAAAAATCCCAGTTTCTGTAGATCTGTGTTTGCCTTCAGAGAGGATTTGGGACATGGAAATGGCAGGGCAGTTATCTGAGACATCCCTTGCTACGGGATCCTGTTTGAGGCAAAAATATGGCAGGGTTTAACAAGGGGTAGGAGTTTTCTGTGCCTGGCAAGAGTTTCACGATGGTAAAGAAGTTTTTAGCCCTGAGAAGGGCTGCCTGAGACCCTTCAGCCTGTTCTGCCAGTCAGCATGGGATTCCTGGCTCCTCCTGAGACTGCAGCTGCAGGTGTGGGTGGAGCACTGGCCTCATCTCTTGGATGGGGCAACCCTCAGGTTGAGTTTTCTTGTTCCACCTGTATGAGGAGGTGTTGTTCTTTGGGTTTTCAGGCCCTGGGATTGCTATAAACAGCATTAGTATGTCCTTGACCTTCTGTGCCACGGGATCAGAGGATGGCTACGTGAGGCTGTGGCCACTGGACTTCTCAGCCGTTGTCTTGGAGGCAGGTGAGTAGAGCTGGGAGTGGCACTTCTGAGCTCCACAGCTGCTGCAATTCCAGGGCTCCACTGCCACAGCTCCTGCAGCAGTTCTCACAAACAAGGGCATGTTTTATGTGTGCTGTCTCAGGGCTGACTGGCTTGGAAGTCTTCAGTGGCAGTTATTGATGTTCATTCTTGTAACTCATAGGAGAAAGGCCGGTTCTCCTGGGAGAGAGCAGATTTCCATCTTGATTTCTGTGCTCTTGAACCCATGGCTCATCTGTCTGTGAGAAATGATGGGAGAAGTTGAGTAGTTCTTGACTTTTTGAAGCAAACAGCATAACAGCAGAGCCAGAGCCCTTCAGATAGGACAGAGACTAATCTGTCACTGAACTCAACTGCAGGTGTTCAGTCTCCAGGTTGTGGGCTGCTCATTCCTGTGATCGTTGCTTTACCAATCAGGAATCTGCCTTTGTAGCTGTGTTCCAGCTGCTGCCGCTCCTCTGCCAGGGGGTTTGTTGACTCCGGTGTCTTTCCCCAGAGCACGAGGCTCCGGTGAGTTCTGTCTGCATCAGCCCTGACAGCTGCAAAGTCTTGTGCAGCACAGCTGCTGGGAGCCTGGGCTACGTGGACATCCAGTCCCGGGACTACAACACCCTCATGCGCTCGCACAAGGCCGCCGTGCTGGGCTTCTCGGTGGGCGGCCTTCGGAAGCAGATAGCAACAGTGTCTCAGGACAGCACCATCCGAGTGTGGGACCTGGTCTCCATGCAGCAGGTAGGTGAGACAAGAGTCAGGAGGTGTCTCGTTTATTGTCTCCCTTGTCTCTGTTTGGTCTAATTATCAAAACCCCACAGTTCAAGAGCCCTTAAGTCCTCCCTGAAGCATGAGGGGGTACCACGGGCAAGAAATCCTTTGAAAGTGGAGTTCTGAGGTATTGTTAAAACAAAATTATTTTCTTTTCCTCCATCTTTTGAATAGTGCTTTTTAGCACAAAGCATAATACCCAAGGGCTTTAATCTAAATGCCCAAAGACCCAGGACTTCACTGGGGTTTATATCCATCCAGGCAGGAACAGCAACATGCTCATGGTGGAGTTGTTGGGTCCAGGTGCAGCTCCAGCTTTATCCAGCTGTGGTGTCTCTTCCCTGCAGCTGTATGACTTTGCAGCCACAGAGGAAGCGCCGTGTGCCGTGGCTTTCCACCCCACCTGGAAGATCCTGGCCTGTGGATTTGACAGTGGGACCGTGCGGACCTTCAGCTTGGCCGCCTCCAATCTCCTGCTGGAGCACAAGTGAGTGTTTGGAGTGGGAACTATGCTGGGTCTAACTGGGTGTCCTGGTGATGGAGGAGAGCCACAGGGATGGTCATGGACCTTGACAACCCTCAGGTCCCAGCTGGGTGGGTTTTGGGCGGAGGCTGTGCCGAGGCTCTGGGTGGGGAAAGCCTGACCTGTGAAGGCCATGAGGGGTTTCTTTGTGACTTCCTGGGGGAGAACAGTAGGAAAGAGCTTGTCCTAGAGGGCAGCTGAGCAGAGAGCCCTTACAAGCCTTGATGCAGAAAGCAGAGGATGCTCCAAAGGGAGAAGGGAGCAGGTTCCATCCAGGCTGGAGCACTACTTGGTTGTCCAATAAGCTGGAATGTTGGTTGTCCTGGGCTGCTGCGGGTGTGAGCACGGTGGGGTCCTGCCCTGTCCCTGATTATTTTGTTCTGGGTTCTTCACGTTGCACTCGATGTCACTACTGTTTCCTCTGTCTCTGATTTTCTCCTCCCTTTATCCGTGTTTTCTGCCTTTCAGGCAGCACCGCACTGCCATCACCGGGCTGACCTTCTCTCCAGATGGCAATTTCATGTTCAGCTCCTGTTTGCAGGGCACTCTGGCTCTGTACAGGTGTGTGGCGCAGAAGAGCCACGTCCTGAGGGCCCTGGGTAAGACTCTGGGATTGGGAGTTGCCTTTCTTCTTTCTTTTACTATCACAGACACCAAAGCCAAAGCACACTCAATCTGCTCAGAGAGAGATTTCCCAATGAACCTGAGCTGTGTCATTTCCCCCTGTGCTGGGCAGTGCTGAGCCACCTCCAATACTGGGGGCAGTTCTGGTGCCCTTGTGACAAGAAAGACCTTGGGGGGCTGGAGCGTGTCCATGGAAGACAACAGAGCTGGGAAGGGTCTGGAGCAGCAGGAGCAGCTGAGGGAGCTGGGGGGGCTCAGCCTGGAGAAAAGGAGGCTCAGGGGGGACCTTATCACTCTCTGCAACTCCCTGACAGGAGGGGGGAGCCAGGGGAGGTCCAAGAGCTCTGTCTTGGCTCTGCTTCCAGGGAACAAGGGACAGGACAAGAGAAAACAGCCTCAAGGTGTGCCAGGGGAGGTTTAGATTGGATATTGGGAAATTTCTTCTCTGAAAGGGTGGTCAGACCCTGGCACAGGAGTCCCCATCCCTGGAGGGATTTAAAAACCATGTGGATGTGGCAGCTGGGGATGTGGGTTAGTGGTGGTCTTGGCAGTGCTGGGGGAGCAGTTGAACTCTGATCTCAGAGGGCTTTTCCAAGCAAGGCCAACCTGTGATTCTATGATTCCTAATGTTTCTGTGATTTTATGATTCTATGGTTTGTGTTTGTACTTTCTGTGTGAGCAAAACCCATCGAAAAAACCACTTCCTGACCTGTCCTGGTTCAAACCCTCTCAGCCTGCTTGGTGTAATCATTTCATGAATGTTCTGGAATCACAGAGATTTATTCATGCCCAAGCCCTGACTCTTTTCATTCCGTGCATGTGCAGTTTAATTTGTTTAAAGTGGGTTTTTGCCCTAACCCTGCCTGCAGCAGAGCTGCTTTGTGCTGGTGGAGAGCTGGAGGCAAGTCAGGGGCCAGGCAGTTTGGAAAAATTAGTGTCACATTTAATATACACTTTGGAAATGAGCTGTGGCAGCACAAGCTTGGGCAGGGAAAAGGAGCTCTGCTTTTTACACAGTGCAATATTTTATAAAGAGAAGGATCCTGCTCCAAGAATTGTGCAGGAGAAGGAACAGGGGCTCAGAGGGATCAGGGAGTTTGTCCAAAATCACCCAAGTTTGTGGTCAGTGCTGCAGCTGGGCCTTCATGTGTTGACTCTTCTCTGAAACTGTGTCACTGCCTGGTCACATTCCTAGGACAGATAGTGGAATTTTGGTAGTGGAATAAATACAGAAAATTGCTGTGATTTCAGCCATTTTTAGACCTTTGGGTCTGTGCCCTCTGGACTGACATCAGTGTGGTGGGGTTCAGCATTGACCTCATTCTGCTCAGGGTTCAGCCAACCAGGCTGCAGCTGAGATCTCGCATTCAAAGCTCCGTGCAACATTAAAAAATAAGCTCTAAAATCAATTTTATTCCCTTGACTTTGTTCCACTCTCCTTGAAAACACTACACATTCAGTCAGGCAACAAGTTGTGCATCTAAACCTTGTGTTTTAGGTGTCCACTGCACACTTTGGTTGTGCAGATAAATTTTGTAGCATCTACAACACAGGTTGCTTCTTCCTCAGGCCAGAGCGTTAACCCAAAGCTGGTTCAGAGGGGAAGCTGCAGCTGCTGCCCAGCAGTGGCATCAGAGTGAGGGTGGGCTTTGCTCCTCTCTTCACTCTGCCTCGTGCTGTGTCCCCCAGGAAACGTGGTGGCCCGGGATGCTGGGAGCGGTTGGGATGCCCTGGTGGTCAGTGGGGACAGTCACCTCCTGGCCTTCGTGGGGCCCTCCAAGTATGTGGTGACCGTGATGGAGGCCTGTTCTCTTGATGAGGTACCAGGGGCTCCCCTCCTTCCTGGGGAGGCTGGGGAGGGCAAATTCCATAGGCTGCATCAGGTGAGATGGGTCAGGGCGTTGGGCAGCAGCACTGTTGGAGAGGGCCTTCCCTGCAGAGCAGGGAGTTTACACTGAGGTTTGGTTTCCATTCTTAGAAATAACAAAGTCAAGGTTTCTTCTCCTCTGGCTTTATTCCCCTCTAGAAAGATAATTTGCAGAGGTGCTGTGTAGACTGTCAGCTCCCACCTCTCTCTGTGAGCTGCTCTCCTGGGCATTGCCTGGACCTGAAGCCCCTCATTAGGTGGGAAGGGTCTGGGGAGTTCTGTGGCCTTGTGTTAGGAGCATGTGAGCAATCCTGAGGCTCCTGCAGTGTTTGTTCATAGCTCCTTGTTTCACAGCTGCTGAGGGTGGACATCAGCATTCTTGACTTGCACAGCACTGTCTTGGACTCTGCAGTGAGGGTCTGCTTTGGTCCTGTGCCTGAAGGCGAGCTCCTGGTATCCACTTCTTCCAATAAAATCCTCGTGCTTGATGCAAAAACAGGGCGACTGGTGCGAGAGGTAGGACACTGAAATTCATCCACTGAGCTCTCGTGGGGTTTGGGCATTTCATGTCTCTGTGGGAGGTTAAATGAGAGAAAAGCTCATCCTGGAGCTCACAGGCTTCAAAGAAACACGAGTAGGAAGCTTACAGTTATCCTCGTGTGCTTGGGCTCAGGATGAGCCTCAGCTTGTCCTTGTTTTCCATGCTGTCACACCCCTGTTCTCTTGCTGAAGTGTAAATAAGGGTATGAACTAACTCAGTTAAAGCTGCTGGTGCCTCTTCTTGTCCTCAGGTGTCCCCCATGCACAAGCTGACGTGTTCTTCCTTTGCACTGAGCAGGGATGGCCAGTACCTGCTCACTGCTGGTGACAAGGTTATCAAAGTGTGGGACTATCGGATGCGCTTCGATATCAACTTCCAGGTACCACCCACAGAGGGAGGGAAGGGGTTGGTGTTGCATTTGTGAATCCCTGGAGAGAAGAGCAGCAAAAGGTGTCTGATACTTGCCCAGTGTCTCTAGTCCCAGTTTGCCCAGCAGAGAAATGCAGCCCTGTTCCCACATTGTAATAGCACCTGGCACTGGGCACAGGCTGGGGCAGCCAGACCCTCTGCAAAGGACAGGGGTGGGTGATACCTCTGTGTTAGGGGCAGGACCACACAGAGAAGAAAATGGCTCCCCCAGGACTTCAGGGGTAGCAAAAGACTTTGTACTCTTCAGCTTTTGCTCCCTTTCCCAGATGAGTGTGTTCAAGGTTGATCAACCGTAGGTGTGAGCACTGTAGGTGTGGTAGATCCTCTGCTGGATCTTCTGCTGAGGCCTGTAGACACTGGCCATGCAGGGCAGAGAGTGGAGTAGCCTCATGCTGACAGGACAGGTGTGGGGATGGGGAAGTTCAGGGTGTGCTTTCTCCAGGTGTACATCGGCCACTCGGAGCCCGTGCACCAGGTCGCCTTCACCCCGGATCAGCAGCACGTTGTCAGTGTTGGAGATGCCATCTTCCTCTGGGATTTCCTGGCTCCAGTTGGAGCAAGGTCACCCCCAGCCAGGTAAGGGCAGGTGTTGGGCACTGCCTTCTCTGCTTCCCCCTTTCCCCCAGCCCTGTCCCTGCCTGGTGTAACACCCATCTCCTCACCTTTCCAGGGCTCGTTCCTCCGCATCTGCTCAGCTGCCAGGACCAGGTGAGTTGTGCTGGTTGGCAGCTCTTCCAGAATGTAGGGCCTGGGGAGTTCAGTTCCTTCCCTCAAGGAGTCGGGTACTGGGGCCAAAGCAGCTAATTAGCCCCAAAGGACAATCTCAAGTTAATTAGCACCTCTCAGTCTGCCTAGGTGGGGATGTTCTGAGCAGAGCCACTCTGGATTTTCTGGTAGGTCTTTCAGCTTTTGTCTTCTGTCTTTTCCTGCCTCCATCTCCTCTGTTTTCTTTCTCCCTCAGTGTATCTCTCTCTGTCTGTCCCTCTCTTGAAAGACAGAGAAGTGGCTTCTCCTGTGTAGGAGGAAGCTGGAGAAATGAGCTTGGAGGCATCACCATCAATCCAGGAGGATGAGAGGAGCTGAGGAATGAAGGAAATTACACAAAGCCTTTTCTTTTCCCAGAAGGCAGCTCTGAGAAGCCAAAGGATGTCTCTGAGACCCTTAGGCAGACAGTGCCTCTTCCACTGCTGTCCTCACCCCCGTGTTTGGATATCAGCTCTGCCCACCAAGCAGGATATCAAGGTAACAGGAACTGTTTGCAGGAAAGGGGAAAATTAACCCTGTTTTGGGAAAAATTCCTTGCCTAGTTTAGCAGCGTTCTTGGAGCCATCCCTGCCCATGATCCCTTCCAGCAGATTGACAGACCAGTCTGCAATTCGTTCCCCTAAGCTGGAAAAAGCCCAGAGGTGCTGGGATTCAGCAGCCCTTTATCCTCTGCTCTCTTCCACACACTGAGCTGCTGGCACAGCTTCTCTGAGGGCTGTGGTAAACACCCTGTTGGCCATTCCCAGTAGGAATAGTCTGCTTTGCCCTCCACCCAAATGGCTGGACTGTTCCACAGAGCAGGGGAATGACACGGCCAGAAATCAAAGGGTCAGGCACACATGAAGTGGTCCTGAGGGACAGGAATGGCTCCATCTTCCCACTGATTTTTCTCTTCAGGTGTTTTCTCTGAGTTGGACAAAGAGGAGGAAGCAGGTCTGCCAGGCAGCAGCAGGATGGTGGCAAACAGAGACAAAGATCCCTCAATCTTTGTGGTGGAGTCAGACAGGAACAAGGAGCTCGTGAGGCCCAAAGTGAGGCAGGAGAGCCCAAGTTCTCCTGAAAAATCAACAAATGGTAAATCAGGGTTATTCCCAGCTTGTACAGAGCTTATCTCCTTCCTTGTGCACAGGCCTGCATGGCAGCTTGGTCTATCCCCAGAAAATTAAGGAAGGTCATCATTAATATGGTCCAGACACATGCTCTGAGTTGTGATCTGAAGGGCAGCACATGTTCCTCAGGGCTCTTCCCTTGGGCATGACCTACTGAGGGAAATCAGTATTGAGGGAAGCTCATGCTGGTCCCCAAAACTGCTTGTTTTCCTGGCTCTTTCCCTGCTGCTGCTTCTAGGCACACCAGAAGCCTCTCTTCAGCTTGGAGCCAGTATCATCTCTAAGTGGCATGTTCCATTAAATCCAGCTGCAATTAAAGCTCCCAATGTCTCTATTAATAGCAGCACAGCCTCGGAGCTGCAGCAGAACGTGGCAACCTGCCAGGAGCAGCAGCTGCCTGTGCTCATTCCTGGCAGGACCTGTTGGAAAAGCTTCAGCATAAAACTGTGCCTCTGATGCTCCCTTGAAGTCCTCTTTGGGGCTGTGGGGCTTGTGGTTCCACAGCGATACCCAGAGCACGTGGCGTGGGTGCCCTTAGGGCTTTTGCAGTGCAGGGAATGGCTGGAGCTGTGTCAGGGGAGGTTTAGGTTGGATCTCAGGAAAAGGTTCTTCCCCCAGAGGGTGGTTGGGCACTGACCAGGCTCCCCAGGGCAGTGGGCACAGCCCCAAGGCTGCCAGAGCTCCAGGAGCATTTGGACAATGCTCTGAGGGACATGGTGGGATTGTTGGAGTGTCTGTGCAGGGCCAGGGGTTGGATTTGATGATCCCCGTGGGTCCCTTCAAACTCAGGATATTTTATGTGTACACTGCAGTCTGATTTTTGCCTCGTGTGTGCACCGTACACAGCACCTGAATGGACAGCAAGCCACAGCCTGGGTGCTGCTCCCAAACCACTCCCAGGAGCAGCATCCCATAGGTACCTTTTTCTTCTTTGCATGGCAGAAACCAGGAAGGGAACCAAAACTCCCAAGTCCCAGTGCTCCATCCGCCCGGATTCCTACCGGCACTTCACTCCTCGCTTCAAGGCATCGCTGCTGCCCCAGGTGAGAGCTGTGCCTGGGCTGGTTACCTGGTGAAGAACGGGCGTTTGGGGGCTGAGATTTTCCAGATTGCTTCCATTTTGTTCTCTGTTTGAAAGCACTTTGGGAAATATACCCCTGGGCTGATGTTCAGTGAAAAATCCTAACATTAATTCCAAGTTCTCCTCTACGTGCAGCTCTTTCCAAACTAGTAAAAAGTGAGTTGTGCTCAACTCTTTTTCTGTTCCCTGAATCTGCATACATTTTTATTCAAAAGGAACGGGAATGGCATGTGCTATTGAGAGTGAAAGACGAGTGAGCAATGGAATGATTCATCATGTTTGTGAGCAGCTGCGTTGGCAGAGCAGGCTGGAGAAGGCAAATCCAGAGAGTGTAGTGAGGAGAGACAGCACAGCTCCTGCTCTGTTAACAAACACAGCAGGAATAAAACAGAAACTTAGCTCGGCCTTTCCCTAAGCTGTGCTGTTAGTGCTGGGAGAAGAACTACATCCAGCTTGTCCCTCACTTGTCCTCCCACCTGGCAGCATTTTTTCCTTCAGTTCTCCTCCTATTGAAACATCTACACATCCAAGCCAGCAAAACCCATGGAACTCTTTCCCAGTGGGATTAGCAGCTGCTCCTTGGCTGGGCACTTGCTGCCAGCCTGTTCTGTGCCCCATCTGAAAACATCTGTGCCTGGCTGTGCTGGGGCAGTATCTCTTTTGTACATAGAGTTGTGCCCTTCAGGATTCATCAGTTATGGAATTGTGTGAGGATTGCTATGAGTCTGTGTGGGATGTGTGAGTGAGGACGTGTGTGTGTTTGCACACTCACTTTTTCCTATATGGGTGCTGATGCACCTGCCCAGACCATACTTCTAGAGCTTATTTTAAGCCAGTGTCTGTTTTTCTTGCAGAGTTTCCTGTCTCCTCCAGCAGGCAGCGAGGTCTTGAAGCTGAAAGCAGTGATTGGCTACAATGGAAATGGCAGAGGGAACATGGTGTGGAACCCAGATACAGGTACACTGGGAATGCTCTGGGGGGGTGGGATGTGTTACCCAGAGTGGTTGTGGCTATCCCATCCCGAGAAGTGTTCAGGGCCAGGTTGGATGGGGTTTGGAGCAACCTGGGCTAGTGGAAGGTGTCCCTGCCCATGGCAGGGGGTGGAATGAGATGAGCTTTAAGGTCCCTTCCAACCCCAACCATTCTGGGATTCTGTTATCATTCTAGGAGTGTGTACTGAACAGAGTTATGATCTTCTGGCTGTTGGGATCTTTGCTTGAACACAGGGGTTCTTTGTGTTGATAAAATCCAGTAACTCTTTGCTGTTGGTGAGCGTTAGTTGGTGGGGCAGACTTGGGCTGCAGTTGTTGAGTGGAGAGAGCTGGAGGAAAGCTCACAGAGCCCATTCTGCCTCCTTTCTCCAGCTGGAGCTTTGCTCAGGTTAGGGGAAGTGAGATCTTGTCCCGCTCCCAGCCTGACGCCGACAAGCCGTGTAGAAGAGTCAGCTTTTGCGTATTAATGAATCATAGAATTTTCCATGTAGGTTGTGGTGGGGGCTGGATGTGCAGCCTTTCCATGAAAACATCCCCTCTCCTCCTCTGCTAGGCTTCTTCGCCTACTCCTGTGGCTGCGTCATCGTGGTTGAGGACCTGCACTCGGGGTCCCAGAACCACTGGCTGGGCCATGCTGAGGAGATCTCCACGCTCGCCCTCAGCCACAACGCCCAGGTATGAGAGCCTGCTGCTGCCTGGGGCCAGGGGTTATCCCTGTCACTGTGGGCCAAAGGGATGTCACAGACTAGAATCCCATTTGTCAGTTCTTCCTGCTGCCTGGAGGCTGTGGAAATCATTTTGGAGCATAGTTATCTGTTGTGTTGGCTCAGCGTGGCAGTGCCTCACCTCAGGGAGGGGCTGGAGTGTGTCCAGAGAAGGGAACAGAGCTGTGGAAGGGGCTGGAGAGTCAGACACATGAGGCAAGACTGAGGGAGCTGGGGGAGCTCAGCCTGGAGAAAAGGAGGCTCAGTAGGGACCTTCTCACTCTCCAGCTCCCTGACAGGAGGGGGGAGTCAGATGGGGGTCGGGCTCTGCTCCCAGGGAACAAGGGACAGGACAAGAAGAAATGGCCTCAAGCTGTGCTAGGGGAGGGTCAGGAGGAATTTCTTCCTGGAAAGGGTGGTCAGGCATTGGAAGGAACTGCCCAGGGAGGTGGTGGATTCCCCACCCCTGGAGATGTCCAAGGAACAGCTGGATGTGGCACTCAGAGCTCTGGGCTGGGGGACAAGGTGGGGATCGGGCACAGGGTGGACTTGATGAGCTTGTGATTCTGTAAAGGCTGCTCCCCTCCTCTGGGTGATGCTGCCATTCCCTCCTGCCACCAAACTGAATGGCTGTTCTCACAGAATTCTCCATCTGCCAACCATACCACTTTAATTTGGGACTAATATTGCTAAGACTCGTTAATGAGTATTCTCTAATTACTTACTGAGGTCTCAGTGACAATACATTGTTCTGTTAGGTTCTTGCCTCTGCCTCAGGGAAGAAGGATGGAGACTCTCACTGTCAGATCTGCATCTGGAGCATCCCAGATGGGGCCTGCACAGCAGAGCTCTTCCACCACGAGACACAAGTACAAGCCATGGCGTTCTCTCGGGATGACAAATTCCTTGTCACCATAGGTGAGCACACCTGTAACACCAGGTGTGGGTGCAGGGGTGCACCCTGGAGCAGACAGCTCATGGGAGAGAGGTGCTGGAAGCACTAAATACCTGCCAGATGGGTATGAGGCTCGTGGGGATGAAGCTGTTTTGTGGTATCCTTGGGACAGCGGGTAAAGCTGCACTTTCCTCTCCTGACTCACTAGTGCTCCTTAAACCCTGTGTGAATGGTTTGTGGTTACTATATTTACTGTTCAAAGGGAAGAGCCTTCTTCTGGACTTGTTGTTGCTGCTTAGGTGGAATTGGATAGAAGTAGCAAGGCTTCCAACTGTGAGCCTCCTGCCAGGCAGCCATGCCAGCACAGGATGGACACTCAAGCTGTCTGTTTTGTTTAGGCAGGGGACATTTAAAGCACAACATGCAACTAGTAAGCCCTTGTTTTGCATGAGAGGGGACCTGTGGAGCAGGCAATACACTTGCTCTGGGCTGGTGAGCCCACCCTTGGAAAAAAAAGTAGGCTTTGCTGGACAGAAAGAGAGCTGCGTGCTCTCCATGGAACATCAGGGCAGAGGAGCCTCCTCTTCCAGCTCCAGACTGGGCTGCAGGGAGAGAAAAGCTGAAAGTCTCCACTGGGCTTGTGGAGCCTAGGAAAGGCAGCAGGAGAGTGCTGTCTGGGAGCTGGGGAATTTGCCATCACGGAAGCCAGTGCCTTCTGCTCCCACCCAGCTACAGTGTCTTCCACTAAGGTCAGCTCCCACCTCACCTGTGACCTTGGCAAAGGTGACATCCCTTTCCTATTCAATACCAGGTTAGCCCTGAGTGCCCAGTGTCACTGGAGGGTTTGTTTGGGTGTGCAGTGACTCCCAAGGATGTAGAAGCAGCAGAAAGGTTGCTGTGCCTGCTGCAATCCCAGCCACTGGCTGCACACCCCGCTGCCAGCACAGGTCTGCTGCAACCTCCTGCATGAAGTGCTGGGCCAGCTCTGTCTGTCCTTAACTCAGCCAAGGATCTGTCGTGTCATGCAGCTTTTGCTGAGCACATGAGGAGTTGTGTCCATGCCTGGAGCAGTGTTTGGGACAGTTGTGTCCAAACAGCTGGGTGGGGAAGTGACACAGGCAATGTGTGTGTGCAGTGTGGATGCTTTTGAGCATCTCAAGGCTGCAGAATTCCTCCTTAGGAATTTCACATTCTCCTTAGGGGACTACAGTGACCAGAGCATTGCTTTGTGGAGCACCTACACGTACCAGCTCCTCCTGTCCACTTGTGTCTCGGAGCCAGTTCATGACGTGGCTTTCAGCCCTGTGTCTCACCAAGACCTAGCCTGTGTGGGGAGAGGAGCTGTGATGTTTTGGCTGCTGGAGCAGCAGGGAGCTGCTGTCAACCTCAAGGTAAACCTCTGTTTTACGTTTCAAAATTTATTTTTGGCATCTCTGACTTCTTTTCCAAGCCACTGGTGAGGGCAATGGAGGCTCTGCCCCCACAGCTCTGTGAGAGCTGAGGATTTCTTGTGACTTTGGCTGTCCATGAGAGCTTTTGGTGGTATTGGAGACATTAACTGCATGAACTGAGGGGAGGAGGAGGGGTTTCTTTCCTGATGTAGGTAAGAACCATATTTTCTTTGACATGGCTGTTTTTTGTGCTTTGGCAGGTTCATCAGGCCCCTGCCCCGGACGTGCTGGGGCTGGTGGAGCTCACGTCTCTCTGTTATGGTGCCGACACTCTTCTTTACAGTGGGACCAACTCAGGCCAGATCTGTGTGTGGGACACTGAGACCAATTGCTGCTTCATGACATGGGAGGCTGACGAGGGCGAGATCGGTGGGTGCTGAGTCAGGGGGGTCAGGGAATGTGTGGGGAACCAAGAGCTGTGAGCTTGCCCAGCTCTGCTTTCAGCTGTGCTCGGAAAACCAGTTTGCTGTGTCAGATGCAAGATGTGTGGGGTGACAATGGATCTGTGACTTGGGTTTCCTTGGGGTCCTGGGTTCCCTGGGAGGTTCACCTTGTTATAGAATCATTAAGGTTGGAAAAGGTCTTTAAGATCATCAAGTCCAACCATTAACCCAGCACTGCCAGGTCCACCACTGACCCATGTCCCTAAATACCACATCCACGTGCTCTTTGAACACTTCATGGGACCGTGATTCCACCACTGCCCTGTTCCAAAGCTCCTGCAGACCCCTGCTCTGTAAAACACTGGGTATTGGCTGTAGAACCCCCCCTACTTTTCCTGCTGGAGTGCATCAGTGGCCTGGCTGTCAGGGGCACGCTTGGGGTGCTGGCTGGGAGCAGTGGATATTCACGGGTGCCCCCATCCCCCTGTGCCCCCAGGGGTGCTGCTGTGTCGGCACGACAGGCTGGTGAGCGGCAGCAACACGAAGCGCATCCGCCTGTGGGCAGTGGGCAGCGTGCAGGAGCTGAGGCTGAAGGGGCCTGATGCCAGGTAGGCAGTCGTGGCCCCTCACCTGGCAGCTCCCAGGACCTGTCTCAGAGGTGGCTCTTCACAGACAGACGTCGCCCTGCTCCTGAGCTCTTCATCCTTAGCTTTTCCTCTCCGCCACGCGGCTGCTGATTCTTTCTCTCTGGATCTTTTGACTGAATTTTTGGCACAGGTAGCTGAACCCTCTTAATACTGGAAGTGGGTGGAGATTGTCATGCCTGAAATTTGTGTCAGTGGTTTGTAGGAATTCCTTTAGGAGAATTAGGGAAAATACATTGCCTTTGTTTCTTCTCTCACGCTATTGCATCCTTCATTTTCTTTCTTCCCTATAAAAGATGGTTGCAGTGCAAATCATAGAATCATGGAATGGTTTGGGTTGGAAGGAACCTTCAAGACCATCCCATTCCAACCCCCTGCCATGGGCAGGGACACCTTCCACTAGACCAGGTTGCTCCAAGCCCTGTCCAGCCTGGCCTTGGACACTTCCAGGGTTGGGGCAGCCACAGCTTCTCTGGCCAACCTGTGCCAGGGCCTCCCCACCCTCACAGACAGGAATTCCTTCCCAATATCCCATCTAACCCTGCCCTCTGGCAGTGGGAAGCCATTCCCCCTTGTCCTGTCACTCCACGCCCTTGTCCAAAGTCCCTCTCCAGCTCTCTTGGAGGCCCTTTATGCCCCAGAAGGTTTCCCCAGAGCCTTCTCTTCTCCAGGCTGAACTCCCCCAGCTCTCCCAGTGCAATGGGAGTCACTGATCATAGACAGGGTCCCTTCATTGAACTGGGCTCACTAAGAAATTGCATTTAAAGGAGGCAGAATGGCTGTTCCAACACCCGAGCCAGTCCTTCTCCCATCCTCCTTTCCTCCAGGTCCAGCTCGGTCCTGCTGGAGCACGAGATCACCCTGGATGGGACGATCGTCAGCGCAGCCTTTGACGACTCCCTGGAAATGGGCATTGTGGGCACCACAGCAGGAACCCTGTGGTACATCAACTGGCTGGAGAGCACGAGCATCCGGCTCATCAGCGGCCACAAGAGCAAGGTCGGAGGGGCTGGGCCAGCTCTGAATTTTGCTGTTGCTTTGGGATGTCTTTGTGCTGCGGGAAAAAGTGTTCAAATGGTAGAAGAGAAGGAACTTTACGTCGACCTGTGGTACACAGTGCCTGGTCCTACCTCTGGGGTTAGGTTTGTTAAACCCTTTGGGGTTAGGTTTATTAACTGTTTGGGGCTAGGTTTCCTCTTTTCCATGACAAGCCTAGCTGTCATAGAATCATAGAATTTTAAAGGCTGGAAAAGACCTCTAAGATCATCAAGTCCAGCTGTCAATCCAGCGCCACCACCATGTTCACCATTAAACCAGGTCTTCAGGTGTCACATCCACACATCTTTTGAACACCTCCAGGGATGGTGACTCCACCACTGCCCTGGGCAGCCTGTTCCAGTGCTTTGCAACCCTTTCAACAAAGAAATACTTCGTAATATCCAATCTAAACCTTCCCTGGTGCAACTTGAAGCCATTTCTTCTCGTCCTGTCAGCCCACAATTTAAACCCAAAACCAAAGCACCCACCTTCCTTTATGTTCCATTTTGTCTGATGTCTCCCAAGAGTGGGTAGAGGGGCAGAGGAGCTGATGTGCTCTGGGCTGTGGCACCTGTAGAGCCCCTGTTGCCCACCCTGTCCCTGGTGCAGGTGACCGAGGTGTGCTTCAGTCCTGACGAGACTCACTGTGCCACGTGTGGGGAGGATGGCAGCGTGAGGGTCTGGGCTCTGAGCAGCACAGAGCTGGTGGTCCAGTTCCAGGTGCTCAACCAGGTAAGTGTTTGTGGTACACCAGTCCCTTCCTCTTGGCACAGGGAGGTACCCACTGTGTCATCTCTGGTTCCTTCGCAGAGCTGCCAGTGCCTGGCCTGGAAGCCTCGTCCCATCGGGCTGTGGGGAGCTGAGAGCCAGCACGTGGTGGCAGGATACAGTGATGGCACCATCCGTGTGTTCAGTGTTTCCAGGACAGAAATGGAGCTGAAAATGCACCCCCACAACGCTGCACTGACAGCAATCACCTACTCCACGGATGGTGAGACTGCCCAAGGTCACAGCAGGGACATGTGGCCTCGGGGAGTGTGGCTTGGTGCTGCCTGGGTTATCCTGACCTCCAGCTGCTCTGTGTCCTGGCCACCTGCCCAAAACCCTGGGGCCAGGGAGAGCCACAGAACTCGTCTCAGTGAGCTTTGGTGGCTCTGCCAGCTGAGCATGTGGTAAATAGGAGGTGGGAGGTGTATTGGCAATGGGGTAACAAAGGGGTTTGGGTGCCACAAACCCTTTTGTGCTCTCCTGCTTTTGATCTACCGTGGCTCTTCTTCAGTGTGGAGATTTAATGGGTGTCTGAGACATCTCATCTTACCCAGCCCTTGACTGGGATGTTCCCAGCCTTTCACAGTGTTTTGGGACACCAATATCCCATGATCATGGACCTTTCTTCTCTTGGCTATTCTTCTCAAGGGTCCCATTCTTGTGTCTCCTTTCAGGAGAAATGATCTTATCAGGGGGCAAGGATGGGCTGGTGGCTGTGAGCAGCCCTCGCACTGGAATGACCATCCATGTCGTGGCTGACCACAAAGGCTCCCCCATCACTGTTCTCCAGTGCACCAGGAAGCAGGTGAGACCCCAGGAGCAAGTCCTCCTGTGTCACTGCACAGCTGTGGGAAGCAGCATGGTCAGTGTTTGCTTCCTTGTCCCTTGCTTTTCCTCTTCAGGCCCCCATCCCCTCCAGTAACTTCTGATGAGTTTTTCCAGGGATATATCCAGTGGAGTAAAGCTGCAGGCATTGCAGGTGCAGCCTGTGCCTGTGGGTGGGGGGACCTTTGGTGGCAGCTGTTGACACACAGGTGTGACGTGGGCCTGTGCCACAGGCTCTCAGAGAGCAGCACCCCTGAGAGCAGCCCAGGCTGGGAGCTTGCAGCCCCTGTGCCCCCTCAAAAAAGGCTCCTGGGCAGCCTGGCCTCCTGTACCATTCCTCTGAGGAGCTGGGAGGACTTGTTTGTGCACCAGTGGGATGGTTTTAGCACCTCCTTTGTCTTCTTCTTCATGAAGAGTTCTTTTCCTTTGTGCACCAGCAATGGGAATAATTTTCCCTGAGTTCTCAGGCTTTCCAGTCATCCACAGTGTAAGGCTGTGTTCCCTGGTAATTTAGATCAAGGAGATCCTCCTTGGTTCTAGGTGAAGGACGTTGTTAGGGGACACGTGGTGTTGAAAAGGAGATGTGCAGATCCAGACGTTGTCCCAGGGAAGAGAACTGTGTTGTTCAGGCCAGGGTTTGGGTTGGAAGGGACCTGAAAGATCATCCAGTTCCACCCCCCTGCTATGGATAGGGACACCTTCTGCTGTCCCAGGTTGCTCCAAGCCCCATCCGACCTGGCCTTGGACACTTCCAGGAATGGGGCAGCCACAAACAGGTTAATCCTGGCATTGATCCCCTAAACACAAGACCCGTGTTCCCACAAGCTCCTGCCCCACTCTCTGGTGTCACCTTCCTTTGCAGCCTCTGTGCCTCCAGAGTCCCAGTGTTGTGTTTGTGTTCCCTAGTACCACGACTTCGGGGTGGAAGGGGGTGAGCTCTGGCTGGCCACGAGCTCGGACCGCCGGGTCAGCGTCTGGGCCTCCGACTGGCTCCAGGACAAGTGTGAGCTCCTCGACTGGCTCAGCTTCCCAGCTCCTGCCGACCCCGAGGTGAGCCTGGCTCCTGCCAGCCCCTGCCTGCTCCTGGCATGGGGCTTGGCACCAGCAGAGGTAGAGGAGGGATGCACAGGGCTCTGACAGAGAGAGTGTGCTTAGGAATGTCATCTCTGTTAGTTCTGCTCACAGAGTTATCTTGTTAACAAACCTTCTTGTGTGCAGAAAGCAATTGTAGCAGTACCAAACTGCCCCAAGCACAGACTTTTAAGCATGAGGAGCCCAAAATGGCACCTGCAAAGAGCTGACACCCTGTGCCAGCAAACCAGAGCACAGGCAGCCGTGAGCACAGTGTGCAGGAGAGAGAGCTAATTAGGAACGTGCTGCTAACTCTGACACTCTTGAGGAGCATGAATATTCCAAGCCAGGAGCACCATGACGGGTTCACAGAGCCAAGTACTCAGCCCTGTGTGTCTGTGCTGCTTGGCAGAAGCCTCTGGCTCCAACCCAGGGTGAGGTTTGGGCAGCAGGACACCTGCTAGAAAGGGAGGAAGGATCTGTATTGGAGAGGATATGAAGATGGCCCCTGGTCCAGGTGAGACTGGCAGGCAGAAGGGAGCTTCCACACAGCAGCTGGGTTCTGTCAGTGTTTCTTCTGTTTCTTTCCAAAACGTTGGATTTCCTCTGGAAGGAAACTCACTACAGCTCTCCCCAGAGTGAGAAGGATTAATCTTGTATCTACTACTCAAGATCTGTCTTCTGGGCCCTATTTTCTTGTGTTAAACCAATCCAAAACCCAATCCCACCTTCAAGCCCCTGCAGCACCATCTCAGTAGAAATTCAACCTGCTGGACCCTCATGTCTCCTGCTCCTCTGACACTAAACAGTTTGCTTCAGGTTTTCATGGCAGTGTGTGGGTGCTCCTTGCTTTCCATGAGATGGGAATGCAAGAGGGAGGAAACAGCCTCCATCATATTAACTCCCCACTGCTCAGATACTCAGAGCCCTGAGGTTCCTCTGTGCTCTCCTTTTGTCCCCATTGTATTGGGTCAAGATGGAGAATCCAGACTTTTCTTGCCTTTGGTTTCCCTCACCAGGGTCTCGACCTCCCTCCCAGCCTGGCTGCGTTCTGCCCTTGGGAGCAAGATGTCCTGGTCTACGTGGGGTTTGGGATGCAGGAGGAAGCCTTGTTCTACAATCTGCGCAAGAAGCAGGTACCTGTGCCCTGCCCGGGGCCGGGGGGAGGCAGTGCTGCCCTGTGTTAACCCCTGTCACAGGGGTGGGCCGGGCTCAGGGAACAGCTTGTCATCTTGGAAACTCCCGGGGGAGCAGCAGAGCCCTGCCCCTGCCTCGGGCTGTGTCCGGGCAGGCAGCCAGTCCCTGATCCCACTGCAGGGGAAGGCGGCTGCTTCCAGGAGCGCTGGCACTCTCCACATTGCTGAGCCATCTCCTGGATGCCTGGGGCAGGTTTCCAAGCTCGAGAGATGCTGTGCACCTTCAGCCTCCCGTTACCCTCCTAATGACTCGCTGCACAGCTCTGGGCTGTCCCTTCCCCCTTGTGAGGAGTTGGTATTTCTCTTGCTGGATGCAGGTGGTCAGGAGAGTCTCCTTGCCAGCCTTTGCCACCTCGCTCAGCCTGTCCCCGGCCGCACCCTTCATGGCCCTCGGCTTCCACGGTGAGTGCTGGGGCTGCCGGGGCCTCTCCACGGGGAGGGGTCTCCCCTTCTGCTGTGAGGGGGGAACAAGGGGCCTTGTTCCATAAAATGAGACACATGCACACACCTCATATCCTCAAACCCTGGGAGCTACAGTCCAGGGCAAGGAGAAACCTCTGAGAGACTCCTAGGTCAGAAATGAGATGCATGAGCTCAGTCCTGCTTGTCCAGGGGCAGGATTTGTCACTGGAATGACTTCCCAGGGTTATGGGCTGCAGCCCAGGAGGCAGCAGGGACCTTCCCATGGCAGGGGACAGTCACAACCCTGCTCCTGACAAGGGCACCTCGCTGCTAGAGTGCTTTGGATCTGCCTGTCTCGTGTCACTCAGCTCAGCAACTCCCAGCTCAGCAGCAGGGAGAGAACCTGGGGGGGTGACCAGGAACGGTGCTCCTGGCAGAGACAAGTCTGGAGAGGGTCCAGGTGTGCCAGGGAAGGGTGGTCCTGGCAGGGAAAAGCCCCAGGGAGCGGGTTTGTGAGTGGCCGGGAGCAGTCCGAGCCCCCAGCCCGGCCGTGACCCTCCTCTCGAACGGCGGCTCCAGCGCTGCAGCGTGCCCGTCCGGGGACCACGCAGGACTACGCCGGCATGACGCCAACCGTCCACCTCTGCCAGTGAGCGCCCTCCGGCCGCCGCACATCCTGCTCACGGCACACGATCTCACAGCGCCGTGCTCGTGGTGGGAACTGACGGGCGCTGGACGCCGGGCGGGCGTGGAACTTGGGCGGCGCTTCTCAGAGCGGGGACAGAGGCCCGGGGGGTATCCGCGCGGCCCCGCGCGCGAGGCAGGGGAGAGCCGGCCTCGAGAGCCAACGGCAGGACCTCAACTACCGTCCCCAGAGCTCGCGAGGTGTATCGGCGGCGGCGGGCCGGCGCCCGCCGGCGCCGGGATGTGTTTCGACGAGCCCGTTCGTTGTTGAAATGTTTTTGCTTTCGTTAATAAACCATCGACAGACGAACCCTGGAGGTCTCACGCGTGTTGCCCCGCCAGGGGCGCTGTGGTGCCCCGCCCGCCTTGCGCCCGCCGGCTCGGTGTGGCGGCCCGGAAGTGGAGGTGGGGACAGGGAGGCGGCGGTGCCGCCATGAATACGGGACGGTGCGGATCTCCTGCTCGGGGATGAGGTGAGGGGGGTTCTGAAGGGCCGGGCGGTGGGTCGAATCCTGCCTGTGAAGGAGTACTGAGGGGGGTCCTGAGGGGCGCGGTGTGGGGAAAATCGGAATCCTCCTGTGAAGGGAAATGAGGGGCGTCCCCGAGGGGTCCGGGGCTCCGGTGGGGTCGGGTCCCTCCTGGACTCAGGGGTGGCCGAGGGGGCAGAGACGGGGGTCCGTGGCGAGGACGAGGGTACAGGGGATCCCCACCCAGTACCGGCAGGGCCGGAAGGAGGGCGGCCGGGCCCGCCGGTGGTCCCGGGCCCTGCGGGTGTCACAGTCACCAGCCCCGGCCCCGATCGTGGTTCCACTGCCGCTGTCCCCCCCAGGCTCTGCCGTGCCGGTGCCAATGTCAACGTCCTCCCTTTATTTCCTAGCCCAGGTGGGGAAGACGTCCCTGATCATGGCCCTGGTGGGCGAGGAGTTTCCTGAAGAGGTGAGCGGGGAGGGGACACACAGATACACAGCCCTCCGGGTGGGCCAGCTCTGTCCCCAGTGCCACCGGCCGGGGGTCGGGGTGTCTGGGGGTGCTCACAGCTCTGGGCTGTGACAGCCGTGGGAGTCACCAGCAATCGCCACTAAAGCTCAGGTGAGGTCGGTGAGGACCACACGGAGCTCCAGATGAGGTGCTGTTTTCCTGTTTGTGCTCTGATGTGGGACTTTCTCTGCCCCCGGGAGGGTGTTGGTACCTCCCAGGCCCCTGCTCGCTGCTGCTGGGGGTCTCTGTGTTGTGGCCACCAGCACAGCAGGGCCCAGCCTTCCTCCCAAATCCAGCCTGGCACTGGCACAGAGCCCTCGGAAGGGGCCAAGCCACATTCCCCGCCCCTCCGTACCTATCTGGAGCTGGGTTTGGTGCTCTGAGCCAGGCCAGCTGCCAGCAGCAGATCTGTCCTTCCCCTCAGAGCCTCCAGCAGGGCAGCTCGCTGTCCCAGCACAGCTGGGATGGGAAAATGGGATCAGTCTGTCTGGGCACATTCTCCCTGAGTCATCAGCTGGCTTCTCCCACTGCCTACAAGCAGCTGGTGCCCTGCATGATCTTGTGCTGGGAAGCACAAGGGGTTTGGGGGGACCAGCCCTGTGGCCCGTCTCCTGCTGCCAGCCCAGCCCAGCCAGCTCAGCACTGAGCCCAGACAGCTGGGGAGTGCCCAGGGAGTGCCCAGGGCTTATCTCTGGCTGCCCAGGGCTTATCTCTGGAGCCTGAGGCCATGGCTGAGGGAGGCCAGGCCGGGCAGGGGTGGCTGTGGCTGAGGGAGGCTGGGCCTGGTGGGCACGTGGAGGTTCCACCTCAGGGACACAGGCTGTGTGAGGGATGGGCTGCAGGGAGCTGCTGCAGCCCAGTGGGCCAAAAGCCATCCATGATCCATAGCTCATCCCACCCTGGCAGAGCGGGTGCTGGGCAGTGCCCACGTTGGGGTGTGACGTCCCCTGTCACCCGTGCTCCCAGCTGGCTGTCACCTGGCATGGCTGGCTGGACAGCTGTGCTGGCTTTGCAGGTGCCCCCCCGGGCAGAGGAGATCACGATCCCGGCCGACGTCACCCCTGAGAAGGTCCCCACACACATAGTGGACTACTCAGGTAGGGCCCCATCCCACCTGGCTTTTCCCCTTCCCTGACTGTCTGAGGGGACTGGGAAGGGGTCCTGCTGCCAGGACAGATGGTGACAGCTCTGTTCCCCTTTCAGAGGCAGAGCAGACAGAGGAGGAGCTGCAGGAGGAGATCTCCAAGGTGAGCAGGGCTGGCTGGGACAGGAGCCTGTGGTCCTGCAGCTCCCAAGGGGAACGTGGCTGCTCCCCTGCCCTCCCCATTAGCCACCCAGGGGGGCCAGGCAGTTGGTTATCCGTGGATTAATGCTCTGGTTTGTTTAGAGGCTTGTTTAATCCTGCTCTGTCTTGTAAGCTGTTGTATGTGGCTTGTCCTGGCCCTCGGGGGAGCCTCCAGAAGGAGAGCAGTGGGGGGCAGGAGGAGGCTGCGGAGCAGATGATGTGCTCTCAGCCTGGGGATGTTCCTGACGGACTTGAAAGAGGGGAGAAGCAGTTGCTGAGCTTGGGCAAGACCCTCTGCTCCTGCATTAGATCCCTGTGGCTGCCTGATGAAGCAGTGGCACAGAGAAGTTAATTTGGGAACTGGAGCCCCTGGGGAGCGCTGGGCAGGGAGGGATGAGGAAGCCCCTGAAGCAGCCGTGGAGGAATAATTGAGTCGTCTGGCTGGGATGCACCCAGCTGCTCTTTGGCCTGGGATTAGCCTTGGCTCTGCAGAGACAAGGACCTTTTAATTGTGGATAATAAAACTGTCTCTCTCACGTGAACAAAGCTATTTAACCTCCCCATCCCGGTGGTTAAGCGCTGAGAAGGTGGGCATGGGGGTCCTGCCCCCTTCACCCAGACAGCAGGAGTACACAGAGGCTTTAAACAGCTCCAGGAAATCCTGCCTAAACCCTCATGTGTCCTCAGGATTAGCGCTAAACTCTCTCCTGAAAGGACCAGTGATCCCTCCTGTCTGACAAAGCCAGGGCACCGTCTGCGCGGGGTCGGGAGGGGAGGAGGGCACGGCCGCGGCTGTGGGAGGGGATCCGGGCGGGCCTGGGGGCGGCAGCTCCCGGGACAGAGGAGCCGGCCTGTGCTCCCGGCAGCTGTGGGCTCATGTCGGGGGCTGTGCGAGGGGAGCTGTGTGAGGGGGGCTGTGTGTGTGAGGGGAGGCTGTGTGTGGGGCTTGTGTGAGGGGGGCTGTGTGTGAGGGGAGCTGTGTGTGAGGGGAGCTGTGTGTGAGGGGCTGTGTGTGAGGAGGGCTGTGTGTGAGGAGAGCTGTGTGAGGAGGGCTGTGTGTGTGAGGAGGGCTGTGTGTGTGAGGGGGGCTGTGTGTGAGGGGGGCTGTGTGTGAGGAGGGCTGTGTGTTGTGAGGAGGGCTGTGTGTTGTGAGGAGGGCTGTGTGAGGAGGGCTGTGTGTTGTGAGGAGGGCTGTGTGTTGTGAGGAGGGCTGTGTGTTGTGAGGAGGGCTGTGTGTTGTGAGGAGGGCTGTGTGTGAGGAGGGCTGTGTGTGTGAGGAGGGCTGTGTGTGTGAGGAGGGCTGTGTGAGGAGGGCTGTGTACGTGTCCACACTCACGTGCACTCGGCCACTGCGGCCGCATTTCCAGCATTCCCTGCTGCTGTGGGTGTGCACAAGGACCCCCTCACCACCCTCTGCTGCTTCTCTTGCAGGCCAACGTGGTCTGTGTGGTGTACGATGTCACCAAGGAGGCCACCATCGACAAGGTAACAGGTGCCACTGCAGCCCTGCCTCAGCAGCAGAGCCACAGGGGAAGGGGTTCCCAGCACTGGGATTTCCATGCTGCCCTTGCATAGTGTGAGCACATACCAGCCCTGTGGGGGATCTGGGGTCTGAGACCCCTGCAGGCAGAGGCTGAGCGCAGAACAAGCTTGCTCCCACACTGGTGGTTGTCCTCACAACAGGCTGATTGAACCCTTGCACTGGTATCCAGCATCCCTGGGTCTGCTCTGCCTGCTGGTGCAGGGGAATGCTGGGGAGCAGATGGCTGCAGGGCCCTGCTGTCTGCCTGGGATCTGCCTCTCCCTCCCCAGGCTGTGCTGACACCCTCTGCTCACCTTCCAGATTCGCACAAAGTGGATCCCCATGGTGAACGGGGGACTTGAAAAGGGATCCAGGTACCATGTGTGGCATGATCTGTGGGTGCAGATTTGGGGGGCTCTGGGGACTGTGGGGAACCCACCACCTTCCTGAGGGTGCTGAGACCAAACCAGCTTTGTGTTTTGATCCAGATAGATTGGACAGGGCTTGGAACAACCTGGGCTAGTGGAAGGTGTCCCTTCCCCCATGGCAGGGGGTGGAATGAGATGATCTTTGAGGTCCCTTACAACCAAAACTATTCCATGACTGTGGCTTGTGGCTAGACCACTTGTAGCATAAGAACATGTGGGCTTTTCTCCCTCAGAGATCCAACTGAGGCAGGGGGCCACTGGAGAGGGATCCTTCTTTCCCCTTGATCTCTTCTCAGCCAGACAGAGAAAGGAGGCTGCCAAGGGAATCTCTGAGCTGCAATCTGTGTGTGGATCACTTAGGCAGAAGGCTGCTATGCTGGATTAAAGACTGCTATGCTGGATTAAAGACTGCTGAACATATTGTTGCTGGGTGAAAGCCTAAGCAGGATCAGGCAGTTTGTTTCTCCAGATGGATGCTCCTGGCCATGGGAGGCAGGAAAGCTGCTCTGGACCTCGCAGAGGAGGGGTGGGGGCTCCCCAACCTGCCCCATGGGAGCACCAGTGGCTGGGACAGTGCTGGGACCAAGGGAGGGGTGGCCTTACTTGTGCTCTGTGTCTTTGCCAGGATCCCCATTATTCTAGTGGGAAACAAGTCTGACTTGCAGATGGGCAGCTCCATGGAGGTCATCCTGCCCATCATGAACCAGTTCTCGGAGATTGAGACCTGTGTGGAGGTGAGGGAACTGGAGGGTGTCTGCAGAGCTTCCCTGAGGGGTCAGAGTGCTGATCTGGTGTGAGTCAGGGAGCCTCTGCTTCTGGAGGGCTGCCCTGCTGACACTGCTCTGCAGAAGTCCCCGTGTCTGGGCATTGAGAGCCTGTGATTTGGGCTTTCTGTGCTTTGTGTATTGGCTCTGGGGCTGTGGAATGGGCACAGCAAAACCAGAGCAAAACCCAGGGGTTTTTCCCTTTTGATTTTTTCTCATGGTGGACAAATATTGCTCTGTGCTTTGATGCACACCTTGTCTGGCTCAGGGAGCTCGTATCATCCTCCTCCTGCCCCTTTTCATCAGCTCCCAGGGCTGTCTTTTCCTTTGAATCTGCAGTGCTCTGCCAAGAACCTCAAGAACATCTCTGAGCTCTTCTACTACGCCCAGAAAGCTGTGCTGCACCCCACTGCCCCGCTCTACGACCCGGAGGAGAAGCAGGTAGGCTCCTGGGAGAGTCTTCTTCCTGTCACAGTGCTCTGGTGTGCAGCTTTGGGAAGGAGGGTGGAGGGTTTGGGCTGACACAGGCAGGACAAGGAGATGGTGTTCATTCCTGTGCTCAGCACAGCCAGCTGGGCATACCCAGGCCAGAGAGACCTGCAAAGACAGGGGTGTGTTGGGGCAGAAGCCCTCGTGCTCCAGACCATCTGTTAGCCATGGTGGGAAGGGGCCAGGAGAAGAATTACCTATGGACTGTCTTTTCTCACTTTAGATTGGATATTAGGAAAAATTTCTTCACAGAAAGGGTTGTCAGGCACTGGCACAGCTGCCCAGGGCAGTGATGGAGTCCCCATCCCTGGAGGGATGTAAAAGCCATGTGGATGTGGCACCTGGGGACATGGGTTAGTGGTGGCCTGGGCAGTGCTGGGGGAACGGTTGGACTTGATGATCTTGAAGAGCTTTTCCAACCTGAATGATTCCATGATTCCCACCTCAGAGGGTGCTTAGCTGGGCTGTGTTCCCAGGCAGTGCAGGAAGGGAACCCACTGTGCATGGGGTTGCAGGAGGAAGGGCCAGGCTGAGGCTGGTGCTGTTTGTCACCGTGGTTGGTCCCTTGCAGCTGAAACCCACCTGTGCACGAGCACTGACCCGGATCTTCAACCTCTCGGACCAGGATAACAACCAGATCCTTAGTGATGATGAACTTAACTACTTCCAGGTAGGGTTGGTTGCAGAGCTGAGATATTCCCCAGTCCCTGGGCTTCCCTGTCCATCCAATAGCAGGCAAAAGCTGACCTTCTCCTGACATGGCCATCCTGTTCCCATTCATACTTCTTTTCCACACCTAAAGCACCATAGGGTGTATCTCTGAGCACATGGGGTTCCATCTTCCTAAGCTTGGATTGAGTTTGCTCTGCTGTGGGAAGACCAGGAAGCTCTGGAGATGTAGAGTCCCAACTTATTGGGATGCTAAAGAACAGGGGTTTGGTCAAGGTCTAAAGCAGAAATCCCTGAGCTGGGTGGACTTTCTCTCCCTGAAACCCCATCCCTTGCCAGGGGAGAGGGAAGCTGGTGAGACTGGGTTGTTCTCTCTGTGTGCTTTGCTGACAGTGGCCTTCTTTCCCTTGGGAGGCAGAAGTCCTGTTTTGGAAACCCACTGGCTCCGCAGGCCCTGGAGGACGTGAAGATGGTTGTGTGGAAGAACACGACAGACGGGGTGCAGGACAACGGCCTGACCTTGAATGGTAACAGCACAGGGGCTCCCTGCTTCTTCCCAAGGGATGGGGGGGACCCATCTCCTTCAGCACATCCTGAAGGGCCCTGTCTCCAGCCTTGTGTCTCATTCCAAGCCTAATTAGTCCCTCTTGTTAAAGCAAGCTGGAGCCTGCTGGGCTGGTAGGTCTCTGTGTCCAAGCAGCCTGTTTTCCCGGGGAAAGCACAGTCCCAAGGAGTGGATCCCTGAGGCTGAGCTGACCCCACTGTCTGAGCCCCTGATCTCTCCTGCAGGCTTCCTCTTCCTCAACACACTCTTCATCCAGAGGGGCCGGCACGAGACCACCTGGACCATCCTGCGCCGCTTCGGCTACGACGACGAGCTGGAGCTGACGGACGATTACCTGTACCCACAGTGCGTGTCCTGCCGTGGGCGGGGGACAGGGGTCACACCCTGCTGCTGCACGGCTCGGGGGGCCCCAGCACCTTGGCTGGATCCTTCCAGCACCCTGGAGCTGCTGTGGACCCTTAGGTCAGGGTCAGGTTCACAGCCCTCGCCTTCCCCTGCAGGCAGGAGCTGACACGTGGGGTTGGGGACAAGTACAACAGGCCTTGGGGCTGCTGGCTGTGCTGATGGTTCTGATCTAGACAGGCAGGGAGGTGGGGAATGAAGTCCCAGACTTGCCTTGACATCAGTCAGGGGCTTTTGGAGGCTGCTCTGTCGCTGCCTGAGCCGAGGCAGAGCAGCTCTGTCAGGAGCAGTGAGCTGTCAGCACAGCCCTCCTGGCTCATTCTGCAGCTGCTGTCTCTTCTCTGCTCCCTGCCACCCTGGAGGTGGGGATCTGGCAGGAATGGAAGGGCTTGGCTTGGAGCTGCCTCCTCCTCTCCTCAGACAGCAGGCTGTGGGGAGGTGACAGGGACATGCTGGTGGATGGCACCCCAGGGCAGTGCTGTGCTCTGCTGGAGCCCTGGCCATGAGGTGGAGCAAGGGCACAGTATCTCTCTGGCTGCTTGGGATGTGCCAGAGAGAGGCCTCTGTGCACCTTCAGGGGATTCTCCCCAAAACAAGGGGACTGTGTCAAGGAATAGCCAGGCCTGGAGGCAACAGCTGGCCTTGAGCAAGGAGGGAGTGGGGAGCTGAGTCCTCTGGGTGAGATCTGCTCACACACTGCCCTTTGTTCGGGGCTTGAGGAGGCTTATTTGGCTATTTGAACTGGAAAATAAGATATGAAAGATGGAGGGGAGGTTTGTGTTGGATTTTAGGAAAAATTTCTTGATCAAAAGGCTTGTCAAGCACTAACACAGGCTGCCCAGGGCAGTGGTGGAGTCACTGTTCCTGGAGGGATTTAAAAGCTGTGTGACTGTGGCACTTGGGGACACGGGTTAGTGGTGGCATTGGCAGTGCTGGGGGAACAGTTGGACTCGATCTCAGAGGCCTTTTCCAATCGTGATGATTCCCTGATTTTTCCCACAGGTTCCGTGTGCCCCCCGGCTGCTCCACAGAGCTGAACCACTTGGGATACCAGTTCCTGCAGCGGCTGTTTGAGAAGCACGACAAGGTGGGGCTCTCCTGGGCCTGCACACCTGGGCACAGCTGCTCCCCTGCCCACCCTCTGTGCCAGGGAGCCCACGGAGCACCAGTGAAGGGCTTTCCTCTGACACAGCATTCCCTTTAGGAGGCTTTGGAAGCAGAAAGTGGTCACAGCAAGCTGTTGGTAGTCTGATGGCTTGTCAGGCACATGAGTGGTGGTCACTACCCTTGACCAAAGGGCAGTTTGGGCTTTCAAGGGCTGGGTCTGAGTGAGGATCAAGCTGGCATGGCCCCCTGTAGTGCCTGGCTGCAGCAGGCAGGGTGGCAGGGAAGCGGGCACAGCTGCTGGCCTGCAGCCACAGACCAAGCACCAGCATCTGCACAGCTGCCAGCCCTGTGGAGGGCTGCCAGGCCCGAGGGAGGGAGAGAAAACAACCCATTTGTACCATACTCTGGCTCTTGGAGAGTGGGAGGAGGGGATGTGTTGGATCTGAATGCACCTGCTTGGAGTGGTTATTCAGATGTTGATGTGCACCTGGGGTATGGCCACGGGGAATAGCTTGGGAATGGCAGCACTGAGTGGACACACATCCCCGTGTGCCCAGATCAGCTCTGGCCACAGGGAATGGCAGAACTGAATCGATGCACATCCCTGTGTGCCCAGGTGCCAGCAGTTCTCCTTCAGGCACAGCAGCCTGAGGGTGCTGTGTTGGCCTGTGGTTGCTTGGTGGCCACGCAGAGACTTTGGGCTAGATACCCTGCAGTGTGGAAGGCCAGGCTGGCCCTGGTGAGGCTGTGGGACAGCTGGCCCCAGGGGAGCCAGAACAGCAGCTCAGGACTGTAGGGAGTGCAGGTCATGCCTGGTTCCAGCTGTGATCCCAAAGCACATTGGCTTGTCTCTCGTGCAGTGGTGGCAGTCCCTGGGGCACAGGCTCTGCACGCTCACCCAGCTCTGGCTGTGATCGATTCCTGCCCTTGACAGCATCCCTGTGTCATTCCACAGCAGCCAGTGAGATGGCCAGTGTGCCAGGGACCCCTCTGGGCATGGGCTGTGTCCTGGCTCTCCTGCTGACACCCTTTGTTTTGGCAGGACCAAGACGGAGCCCTCTCGCACACAGAGCTGCAGAACTTCTTCAGCGTGTTCCCCTGCGTGCCCTGGGGCCCCGAGCTCTCCAACACGGTATGCACCACTGATAAAGGCCTGCTTTCCCTGCATGGATTCCTCTGCCAGTGGACGTAAGCTCAGTCCCTCTCCCCCGCCCCTGCTCACATCCCTCAGCCCTCGCTGACTCTCTCGCCTTTGCTCTGTCTCTCCAGGCTCGTGGCTTACCTGGATGTACGGCACTGCCTGGAGTGCCTGGGCTACTTGGGCTACCCCATCCTGTCGGAGCAGGACTCGCAGACACAGGCCCTCACGGGTACGGCCATGCCCTCCCTCCTGTCACAGCTCGGGTCCCTCCTCGTGCTCACCCATCCTCTCTCCTGCCAGTGACCCGGGAGAAGAGGATTGACCTGGAGAAAGGCCAGACCCAGAGGAACGTGTTCCTGTGCAAGGTGCTGGGAGCCCGGGGCGCAGGCAAGTCCGCCTTCCTGCAGGCCTTCCTCGGCAGGAGCCTGGCGGTGAGTGGCTGCTCCCTGTCCGGCCACGCTGGGCAGGAGCAGGAGGCAGAGCCAGAGGTCCTGGAGTGACCTACCCCATGATGGCATCTCCCTGCCCCCTGTGTGATGCTCTCCCTGCCCATGCTTTACACCCCCCTGCGTGCTGGTGGTTCTGTGGCTGTTGCATCCATAATTTTGGCTGAGGCAGTGGGCCCACTCCCTCTGCTTGTCCCAAAGATCTGGAAGGGCTGTGCCTTTTCCAGGCAGCTATATTTCCCCAGTGTCACCACAGTGATGCTGACTTTCCCTGCCTGTTAGGAACAACCCCACATCTCATGGCAGGCCCTGGCTGCCCTTCAGGTGGCTGTTAGGCCACTGGGGCTCAGGGCAATTTGAAACGCTGTCCCCTAGCAAGCACTGCTCATGTCCCCACTGTCTGACAGTGTTGTCCTTGGCAGGCCCAGAAGGAGAACCCGGGACAGCCATCCCCCTACACCATCAACACGGTGCAGGTCAATGGCCAGGAGAAATACCTCATAGTAAGTCTGGAGGAGGAGGGAATTGTGCAGTGCCTGGCTCACAGCAGGGCTGGCTGTATCCTCCCATATCCCAGCACCCCAGGCTGGGCTGTGGCTGCGATCAGCCAGCACCGTTCCTGTTCTGGTGAGGGAACAGCTGATCCCCTGAGGTAGTGACATGCCCTGTGTCCTTTCCCCTCCTGCCCCAGCTGTATGAGGTCAGCGCCGACTCCACGTTCACAAAGCCATCAGACACAGCCTGTGACGTCGCCTGCTTCATCTACGACCTGAGAGACCCCAAATCCTTCAGCTACTGTGCCACTGTTTATAAGGTAACTGGCTGGGATCCTGGGGGACTGTACAGGGCCCCTGTGGGACTCCAGCCTTCATGGCAGCCCCACATCCCCCAGGGGCTGCTCACTTAACCCCTCGCTGGGCTTTCTCCTGTCCCTGCAGCAGCACTACATGGACAGCCAGATCCCCTGTGTCTTCGTGGCCTCCAAGACAGACCTGCCAGAAGCCAACCAGCAGCCTGGGCTGGCCCCAGCTGAGTTCTGCTACAAGCACTGCCTCCCTCCACCCTTTCTCTTCACCTGCCACTGCCAGGGACCACCCAGCACTGCTGTCTACACCAAGCTGGCCACTGCTGCCACCTTCCCGTTAGTATCCTTCCTGTGGAAGGGGCTCTGCTGGGAGCAAAGCCTGGGGAGGGGGCTGTGTCCAAACCTGACCTCTGACACATTGCTTTTGCTTTGTTTCTCTCCAGCTTTTGGTGTCATCTAGTGATTTTGGTGTCATCTAGGGCATGAAATGACAGGATGAGGGGGAGTAGCTTCCCACTGCCTTCAAAGGGCAGGGTTAGATGGGATATTGGGAAGAAATTCTTCCCTGTGAGGGTGGGGAGGCCCTGGTACAGGTTGCCCAGAGAAGCTGTGGCTGCCCCATCCCTGGAAGTGTCCAAGGCCAGGTTGGACAGGGCTTGGAGCAACCTGGGCTAGTGGAAGGTGTCCCTGCCCGTGGCAGGAGAGTGGAACCAGATGAGCTTTAAGGCCCTTTCCAACCCAAACCACTCAATGGTTCTGGGATTCTGTGGTCTCTTCATAGAAGTAATTGAAACAGAAAGGCCATTTCTTCCCCTATTTGCAAAGTGGGGAGGCTTTCTTCTGCCTCATGTTTGTCTCTGGCAGATTTATTAGATAGATCCTACCACAGGAGTGTTTATTTTTGAAGCCTAAGATAAAAAATGCTGGAGAGGAGTAGCCAGCTTAGTTTGCCAAGGCCCGCGGGGGGAGTGGCAGCAATTTTCTCCTGATGAGATGGATCAGACTGAAAAAGAGGTCAGTGAAGCGAGACCTGTGTCACACAGCCTCCCTCTGGGAGGAACTGCATCCCACAGGGGCTGGGAACGGAGTAGGAGGAGCGCCAGGCTGGTCATGGGAGGTGAGGGGGCATGTGGGAAGAAGGACAGTGTGGCTGTGTGTGGAATCTCTGCTCCAGGGGTGGGAAGAGCGAGCACAGCGCTGGGGGCCGAGCCCTTGCAGGGAGAAACATGTGGGAGCATTGGAAGGCAGGATGGGATTACTAGTGAGTAGTTTTCCCTCTAGCTTCTTTTCAATAAACAACTTTATTTTTAGAGCTGACGCTTTTTTTTTTCCCTTTCTGCAGTATTAAAATTTAAATATTCTTAATATATCTTAGGGTATGTGGTATAAATAAATAACAGCGTAATGGAGGGCTGGGGATTGGCTGTGCTCCCCCGATGTAGTGGGGAATGAATAATGGATGTGCCTCTCCTCGGAGAGGAGCAGGTTGGTGCGGGACAGCACGTGTTTGGGAAGGGAATGTGTACGCTGGGCTCCTTCCCTCACCGCCCTTCGTCCGAGTCACCGGCTGTGCCGGCGTCTCCGGGGCACCCGCTCCTGGGTCACTTGGGGTTGGGAAGGCAGCTTGACCTAGAAAGGCAGATACCTCCATGCTCCTACTAATTATTTAGGTGTTGGTGTGCTGTTTCCAGGCCAGGGGAGGGGACAGCTACATCCATCCCACCAGCCACCCCTTGGCTTGATGATGCTGCCAGGTGACGGGTACTCCGGCGTGTGGGGCCGGGAATCTCTTGGAGCCTCCTCGTCAGCTGGGCTGTAACCCCCAGTGCTGTGCTCGCCCTGTGCCCCCCCCACGGGCCCCCCAGATCTTCATGTGTGGGGTGGGAGCGCTGTGGGCTGGTGGGGAGTATTGGGACAGTGTTGGACTCACCAGCCTCTTCTCCATTTCCTTGCAGCCACCTGAATGCTGTGGAGTTGGGAGTCGCATCCTTCTGGCTCCGGGTGGCCCTGGGGGCCGCGGTGACAGCGCTGGTGGGGTTCACACTGTACCGTGTGCTGGCCAAGAACAAATGAGAGCCACTCTGCACCCCATCCCCCTGACACCAGCTCCCTGTCCCCAGCGACACCCTGGTGAGGGGCCCTGCCTCAAGCTGGTCCCTGGTAGGAAATCCTCCTCTCCCCCAGCCTGGATTGCAGGGCCAGTGAAACCAGATCTCCCAGCACCAGCAGGACAGATCCCTGGCACCAGCCAGCCTCACCCTGTGGCCTCCTGGCCCCAGTGGCAGCAGGGCAGGCAGCTCTGCTGGGGATCTGCCTCACCAGCAGCTGGAGGATCACCCTCATCTTTTATTCTGTTAAATTTTTTTAATGTTTGTTTTTAAGCTCGAACATGAGTGTTTCAGTGTCTGTTGGGCCGGGCACATCCCCTCCCCAGAGGGCTGTGCTGGTGGCCTCAATTCTGGGGGGTGGTCAATGCTCTCAGAGCCCCTGGGAGCTCCAGCAGCAGCTGAGCTGTCAAATGAGCTCATGGCTCCAGCTCCCTGGGGCACATCTCCATCTCCTGTCCTGGTTTCCCTCAGCCAGGGAAAGGCAACTGGGGAGGGAGGGCCAGGCACTTAAAGCCCCCAGTCCTGGTGGTTTGGGGTCAGGCCTGGCCTCTCTTGCTGAGATGCAGTGGCTGCAGCCCTGGGCTGTGAGGGGGGACAGTGATACCCAGGATCTGTCCCAGGCTCTTGTTTCTGCACAAAAATGTGAGTCCCGCTGCGTGCTGGGCTCTGGGTCCATCTGCCCTCCTTTCCTGCCACCTGCATGGCCCATCCTGTCCCCATCCCTGGCCACCAGTATTCATGGTCACCAGTATTCCCAAGTCTGAGGGCATTGGGTGCCCACAGTCCTTCCCTGGCAGTGCCATCACTGAGCTGATGCCACACTGTGCCCTACAGCCCACGTCCTGCTGTCCCCTCTGCAGGGCCCTGTCCAGTGTGAGGCTCCTGGTACAACTGGAAGCTCCTTTCCCCTGTCCCCTGCCTGCACCTGAGCTGGCATCAGCAGCCGGGACTGAGCTCAGCACCAGTCTGGGGTCAGAGCTCCGCAGTGCCCCTGTCTCCAAGTCCCAAAGAGCAAGGCCAGCACCCACCCCTGGGCTCCTGTCCCTCCACGGGGAGCCTGGATGAGCCCCTGGCTGAGTGACACTAGCCTGGGCTCCCCCAGCACACTCAGGGTCGGTCTCTTTGCAGGCAGCCTGGGGGGGCAGCTCCAAGGTAGCACCTGGAGCTGCTTTTTTATGTGTTTTGTCTATTTAAACGTTTTACCGTGGCCTGGAGCCAGTGAGGGGCATGAGAGGTGCCACCAGCATCTCTGAGGGAACAGTCCCATGGTGGTGCCCACAGTCCCCAGCACTGGCCAGCTGGGGGGTCCCTGCCTGTGCCAGAGCTGCTGTGCCAGTCGGGTGCCCACGTGCTGCTGGCCCCTGGTTCCTGCACTGCCAGGGCCATGTCCCTGCCGTGTCTTTATCCCTCTCCATGCCCACCGTGTGTGGCTCTGCCACCCCAGGCCCGTGCCTGGTGTCTGTCCCTGCTCCACGTCTGCTGGAGCTGTGATGTTTTAGGTTTGTTCTCTACAACAAAATAAATTTTTACACACCTTCCCCTTGCACACTGTATCCTGTGTCACCTGGGGCAGCAGGACCCTCGTCCCTGACGAGGCTGTGTGAAGCCTCCACAGACTGGGGTGGGAGCAGGGAGACCCCCAAGGGCCTGGGCTGCCCTGTTTCGGGGTGGTTATGGAGATTTAGGGCAGAAGCTGAAGCCTGGCACAGTGGGACAGCTTGGGGCTGGCCCAGGGCTCCTTGGTGCTTGGGGACACAGATCCCTGTGCAACAAGTGCCAGCCAGAGGCGAGAGGGGGAAGGAGGTGGTGCGTCCCTGTGGTGCTCTGCCAGGATCCCTTGGGAAGCAGGAGGCTCAGCTGCCCCTGCAGTGGTGGCTCTCTGTGCTCAACCCCATGTGGGTTCAGGGCTTCCCCTTCCCTGCAGCTCCTGGGGCCATGCTGTCTCCCCTCTCTGCTCCTGCTTTCCCGTGGCAGCTTTTCCCTTGGCTGTTTCTGTCTCTGCAGGCTCAGCCATGGGCGCTGGGCACAGGGAACGTGGGCACAGCCTGGGAAAAGGCTTTTTCCAGGGCCTCTGCCCTGAGGCTGGATGGGGCCAGACTGCTCCCACACTTGTAGGGGAGTCCCTCTAGGCTGTGGGGTGGGAGAGAAAGCCCTTCCCACATGGCAAACCAGGGGACAGGGGTGCTGGGGAACACAACCAATGCCGTGCAGGGCAGAGGAGGTGATGCCAAGGCGGGCGAGACACGCAGTGCTCCCTGGTGACTCCAAACCAGGCTGGATCCCGTGGGAGCCACGGGCCCACGTGCAGCGGTGTGTATTAATAGCACTGGTGTGCCAGAGCCATGGATGCTGTGCCAGGGCAGGCACGGCTGTAGGACAGGGTACACACATGGCAGGGCCGTGGGCCACCCATGGCCACACACAGTCCCCAGGGAAGGTGCCTGGCAGGGCTGAGGGGCCCAGAGCTCCCTGGGCACCCACAGTGGGGCTGAGCCGTGGCCCAGGAGAGTGGGGAGGCTCCAGCACACACTGGGGGCCCAGGGGAGCCTGGCCTGGGTGACACCGTGCACATCACGTAAAGGGGCCAGTTCAAGGGACCCAGTGCCAGGCTGCCCCATGAGTGCTATGCTGGGGCAGGGGACAGCCCGTGTCCCCCGTACCAGTGGGAGCACCCACCAGCCTGTGGGTCCAGGGTCAGAATGGAGAGAACATTTATAGTCACCTGTGCCAGATTCAGCGGGTACCTGGAATGCTGGTACCCATATTAGGATGCAGGTGCCCATGCTGGATGCAGGTACTGCACCAGGATATGGATTCCTGTACCAGGATGCAGGTGCTGTACCGTGATGCAGAAACATGTACTGAGACACAGGTACCTTACTGGAATACCTGAACCTGTACTGGGATACAGGTACTGGAAGTGGAATGTGAATTCCAGCATGCAGACAGTGCACTGGGATGCAAGTATCACACCAGGATGCAGGTCCTGGTCCAGGATGGAGGTACCACATTGGAAGCCGGTACCCATGCCATGATGCAGGTATTCATACTGGGATGCAGGCACTGTATGAAGATGTGTGTACCAGTACAGGGATGCAGGTACCATACCAGAATATGACTCCCAGTACTGAGATTTAGGTACCCACTCCAGGATGCAGGTACCTGTACCAGAATGTGGGTGCCAGTACCAGGATGTGGGTGGCATACTGGGATGTAGATACCATACTGGGATGCAGGTATCATACCGGGATGTTGTAACTGTGTTCGGATGGGGGTACCAGTACCGGGATGCAGGTCCCCATACCGGGATGCACACAGCCATGTGAGGATACACGTTCCAGTACCGGGATGCCCGCAGCTGTACCGGGATGCCGGTTCCCGGCACCATCCCGTGCTGAGAGCGCCCG